TCTGACCAGAGAACACGTGAGACCAGATTGAAACAAACAACCAGAACTGACCTCGAAAATTGCAGCAGCAAACTGAACAGTAAGGTTGTTCGGACTGCCCACAGATGACTATCTCGGTGGTCTTCTGATGTGTCGGCAGAAACCCTAGAGTCGCTAGGGTTGGCAGTGGAGGCAGATCTGTGTGTATGACCTAGGCTCTGATACCAGTTGTTAAGAACAAAAGCACACACACACGAACAGAAAACAAGAAAGCAATAAAAACACGAGATTTAACGTGGTTCGGTCTAATCTGACCTACATCCACAGGGGCAACTAGGGTTTGTTTTATTGAGTGATAATGATTACAAGTACAGGAGATCATATATATAGACAACTAATTAGGGTTTAACCCTTGCTGGACAAGTTATAGCAATCTGGGCTTAAAACCATTTGGGCCGGCCAAAACCCTAATCTGGTTTCCTAATTCTCAGTTGTCTATAAGTGGGCCACTTTGGGCCGATGACTACACATCACCAACAAATAGATATGATGTGATAGAAAGATTAATAATCGATATGTGAAAAAAAATATTTTAATTGAAAGTAAAGTATTTTTTGAAACAGATAAAAAATGAAAGTGAAAATATTTTTGATTAGCAATGAACCTCAAATATTTTATAATTTTTATTTTGCAATAATATTTTTCCATGCAACGCACGGGTATGAATCTAGTAGTAATAATAGGAAGCTGATAATAATAGTAATAGGAATTAGTAACAGTAATAATAATAATAATAATAATAACAATAAATTGTGTTTGAGTCGGGCTTGGGGGTCTCTTGGAAACAACCTCTCTTTCATAGTAAGGGTAAGCCGACACACACCCTCCCTAGATCTTACTATTGTGGGATTTTATTGAATTGTTGTAATAATAATAATAATAATAATAATATTATAATTATTATTATTATTATTATTAATGATACGTGTATCACTAAAGTTGCCAACACAAGCACCCTCAACCCTACCAAATTCACTGGCTGAAACGAGGACCACTAGATGCTTGGTTAAATTCTCTTTCAGCAACAATCTTGAAGACAAAGCACTATGTCATTTTGTTCCTATGGGTGTGGGCCATATTCTTATGGGGAGGCCTTGGCAATATGATCATGGTGTGAAGCATCTTGTGAAGCCAATTACCTAATGATGAGTATTTAGATCTAAGGTAGAGGGGTGAAGGAGAGAAGAGAGATCTGTATGAAATGGAGTAGTGAGTTAAGAATAACAAATCACCCACCCACCCCCCTCCTCACTAGGTGTAGATAGAAATTAGAATACATATACTTCCTCTATTCTTGAAAAAAATGCAAGAAAGGAGCATTTGGCACTATTCATTCACTCACATATGATCATCTTTTGTAATTTATATATAAAGCAAAATATAGTTATGTGGGTCTTGTTAGATTCATCTCAATATATATTTTGAAATATTAACTTTTTATAATTTTTAACAAAACATAATTCAATATGTTGATGATTTGTTTTATACATAGGTGAAAGTGGAAGTTTTTTATGTTGCACTTATTTATGAATGAAAAGAGTATAATACAAAAGAGGCATAGTCTCCCCGAGCTAGCTATCGGACAATCCCGACACTAGAATGAAAAGAGTATAATACAAGAGAAGCATAGTCTCCCCGTTTCTTAGCCGAAGCATATCTGAGTTGGGGCCATGATGACTAGGTCGGCTGACCTCACCAGAACGAGCCAACATTGTGGTCGTAGGGGTCTTAGTTCGAGCCCATGTGCAACAAGGCTAGGGGTTGGGTCCAGAGTATCCATCACTTGGTACTATTCCTTTTTAGGGGTGATAAAAAAGTATACTTTGTAACCTTTTAGAGATGCAAAACCCTTTGTTGATCCTACAAAGAATACTAAAATGTATCTATTGAACGGTTTGAGATAGAGAGCAAGGAGACTGAAGTGGTGTATGCTTTGGTGAGTACAGTGGTGATCAAGTGACCAGATTAAGGAATTACCTCTTTTGATTCCTAAAATTCAGCAATCGTTAGAAGGATATGTAGATTAATGAATTACCTCTACTTTGGGCAGTGTGTCTCTCTGCTTTGGGCACCCAAATCACCTCAGTACATCTCTCATCTTTTGAAGGTAAGATTGGGGAAAACCCAAGCAGAAAGGTCAAAGGTGACGCCTAGGTTAGCTAGACCTTAACCTTTTAGAACACTAGTTAAAGTTCTAATGACCTCATTATAAGGTTCGGATGTCTTTGCCCAGGTTGAGAGAATTTTAACATGGGCAGACAAATATCATATTTTGATTTGATAGTGTGGCACATGTCTGAACTGGGGCATTACTTTTATACATAGATCCATAGATGTGCATTTAGTATAGGTAGGAGTTGAGATCAAACATGTGCTTTTATCACAATAATCTAGGTGTTCAATTAATTTCATATTGCAGCATCTTAGTTAATTCTCTTGGAAATAGCCTCTCTACTTTCGAGCAGGAGTAAGGTCTGCATACACACACCCTCCTCAAACCCAGCTTTCGTGGGATTCTACCCGGTTGTTGTTGTTGTGGGCTTGTGGCAGCATCTTAGTTAGCCAACACTCCTCTCATGTTAGAGTGTTGATGACTATTCAGTCTAGTAGTCTAGCATAGAATGCCACAAAAAAAGGACAATTCAGTCTAGTACTATAAAATATCAAAGAAGAAACCATATTGCTCGAGTAAAAATTGAAATTAAGAAATAAGAACCAATAACAGCAAAAGCTTATAGAAACAATCAAGTGAATCAACAATGTCTACATGTTACGTTCAAAGAAACAATATACAAGGATAAGTTCATAAAACGACGGGAGGATAAAATAAAATATAAAGAATTAAGCTGTCTATGAGTGTCAGGAGCGAAACCTGAGGAGCTTGATACTTATCAGGGTGATAGACTTGCGCCCATTGGCGGTAAGCTTTCCGGATTTCTTCTGTGGAAGCTTCAGGGGATATGTTTAGCAGAGCATATAGCTCTTTGTTTGACGAACCATCGGAATCTGTCTTCATTGATTCTCTCCTGTTTTGGGTGGATTCAATTCCATTATTGTTACGATATTTCCCAATAGAACTTGAATGAGTTAGCTAGGATTTCTTTTTGGATGAAAATGAAGATAAAAAACAACTAAATATTTGAAAACAATGGTGATTACTAGAATAATCCTTGTGGGAAGAGTTTCCAGTATGCCAACAATAAAATTGTTTGTAAAAGAAACAGGTCTATAAAACAGACCTTACCCAAAAATCAGATCATTATGCACAACCATTACCATAAAATTACAGGGAATAATTAGTGGTTTGTAATAAATGAATCCAAAAATCAATGTATTTTCTACAACTCACTAATCCAATCATGGCTCTTGAGACATGAATTTAAAAACAATGAAAAAATCAAATCTTTTCACCACTTGATCAATAGATTCTCAAAATCATCAAATACTTCTAAAAACGAGTACTTCCTGTGTCACATAAAAAGAGTCCTAACAAGAAAATCAATTTGCATAAAAGAAGCTAATTTTAGTTATATTTATATTCAACATCCTCTTCATGCAAAAAAAATTGCTACAAACAAGTTGAATGCGTTAAATTTAGTTGAACTAACCAAATGAATTAAAAACAAATCCATATTTGATGATTTTACAATGGGTGTCATTACTAAAACTAAAAGGTTGTAATAAATTGATAAACAAATCTGTAATAGATTATTTTACAATAGTTGTAACAGGGGAGCATAAGGAGCCATTGTTTTACAAATTTTGCACTTTATGAATAAAAAAAGTCACTAAATTGGTGTTAAAACAATTAAGGTATCCCAAAAAAGGGTTTGCGAACTTACCTCTTCAGAGTGTAGCAGATTGGGAGACGGTTGACTAGGGGTCAGTCCGGCGACAAGATGCGCAGAGGGCAGAGCTACTCAGCCAGGCGGGGAGAAAAACGGGAGGGGGGGACAGGGCTGCTATGAGGGTTGTAAAAGGGAGAGTATGGAACTAGGGATGACGAGGCTTGAACAAAAAGTAAGGGGTGACAACTACAAGATGGAACTTAGATTTTGTTTGGTTGTGGTTAGACCAGCTAAAAAATGATTCGATCTGTTTTTGATCCGAAATTCGATTTGAAAACACTGAGTTTTGAACAAAGGTTTTAATGATCGAACTCGAAATGACCCGCTAAAAATTGGTTAAATCTAACCAAACCCAGACCCGACTTGACCGACCAGCTAAAGTAAGAGTTTTTCAAAATCATACACTTTACTACTCGTTTTTAATGTATAATTTTATATATTTTCAAACAAAATCTTAAGGGTATGTTTGGTTGGAAGGGAGTGGAGGAGAAAGAATGGATGGGAGGGAACGGGAAGGGAAGAATTCTCTTCACCTTGTTTGGTTTGGAGGGGAACGAAATGTTTTTTTTTTAATTTTTATTTATAGTTTTCATTTTAAAACTATTTTTTATCTATTTTTAAAAAATTATTATCAGTATTTTATCTTATTCTTTCATTTTTTTATAATTTAAATTTTTTATTACTATTTTTATCACTTCTCCTACATTTTAATTTTTTTATTTTCTTATGTAATTTATTTTTTAAATTTAATTAAGTGCATATGAGTGTGTGTGCGCATGTATGTATGTATGTATGTATGTATGTATGTATGTGTATATTATTTTACTTATTATTTATCACTACGATTTTCCATTATGAATTGATTGATTTATTTTATTATTATAATTATTGATTATTATTATTGTTATTATTATCAATTTGTAAATTTTTATTTATAATTTTTTATTTATGTTATTATTTTTATTATGGGTTTTTATTTTATGATATTAATATTTTTAGTTTTTTTCTTATTTTTTATATCTACTTGTTTATTATTATTAATATTTTAATTACCATTTATTTTTTTATTTATTCATTTTATTACTATACGGTTTTTGTTATTAATAATTTATTTGTTATTTAAAAATGATTTAAATTATTTTCTATTTATTTATTTTTTTTTTAATTTTATTTTATTATATATTATTTTTTATTGACAATCAGGAAAAATTGAGGAAAGAAGAAGAGAATGGCAAGAGGGAAGAAAATTTCGTCTGATTCAAAAGGATTGGTTTGGAGGGAAGGAGAAAGAATTGAAGCTAAAATTTTGGGTCTCCTCACATCCACATATTTAAACCAAACAAGGGGGGGGGGGGTTTGATTCCTTCCCTTCCCCTCCCATTCTCTCCATCCAAACATATTTAAACCAAACAAGGGAAATAGTTTTCAAAATCTTAAACTTACTTTCGCTTAAGGTCTATCAGAAACCGACAGCGTAGTGCTCACTGTTGGGTTAGGTGGTACCCCCAAACAAGTAGGTACTCAAGTTTGGTTCTTGGATCCCGTATGTACATTTTAACCCTGGCCATCGGGCATCATACCCGCAAGGCCTAACTTAAATGGGTATATCTTAGAGTTCTTCTAGATATCCTTCAAAATCAACATCACTATGATATATCTTAGAGTTATTTTAGATACTATTGAAATCAATATCACTTAACTAAAATGGTCATTTGGGTATATCTTAAAGTTCTTCAATATACCCTTCAAATCAACATTTATATGGGTATATCTTAGAGTCATTTTAGATACCCTTAAATATACATATTATTTTCACAATTATCAATATATTCATTATGATTTAATCATTCATAATTATCATTTTAATCATAATATTCATCAAGGTTTAATCATCATAATCATCAATCAATAATCATCATCATAACCATCAATTAGTAAAAATCATCATAATATTCAATAACAAATAGTGACATAGCTTCGGGTGTTAACACCCTAGCTTACCGTCATGCATCACACAAGATTTTATTTGTCAAAAACATCATTTTTATTGTGAAAAATCATCTTTATATTGATCATGATCAATTGGTGTCAAAAATAGGATTTTAGAACTCAAGATAGCATTTTCAGAAATATTTTCGGAGCAAAACTTCGGGGGATCGATCCAGCACCTTAGATCGATCATGCTAGAGGAAAACACACCCAGGGGATCGATCCACCCCCTTGGATCGATCCTCTCTGCATATTTTTGATCACTGTTCATCATCTTCTACCTTTCGGGTCCAATTTTGAAAATACCATTTTTAGTTACCGAACTTCAACTAAACTACGGAGTATATAAAAATGTTCTCCAAGGTTCATAAATCATTTTGGTATAATTAATTCATAGTTTTAACAACATTTTCATGGTTTATGATTCTTGGTTCTTCAAGCATGTCAAACACAAAACTAAACCAAACGACCTTAATGAACGTAGAAACGATTTATACGAACATTTTAGTCACTAGATATATCTACAGGCTTACCTCGAAGCTTAATGAAGGTTTTGGGAATTTTCTGGAAAAACTTCCGGCGAACACCACGACTTGCTCCGGCGACCTCGGCGGCAACTTACTATTGCAGAATGCTCTCCTTACTCTGAGGAACATAATGACACTAATTTTATTCAGTTTGGTGGAGAATTGAGAAGATTAACTTCTTCTTTTTTAGGAAGGAAGAGGGGGAAGAAGACGCATGTTGCATAGGATTTGCGTAGGAATTGATCTCCAATCGGTTGAGTGGAGGAGGAGGCGTCGTCCCTGATTGGGACTAATTTTGATCCCGGTCAGGGTAAACTTTTGGGTACAACTTTATCCGAATTGAAATCTGTTCGCACCGTTGCAATCAAACAGTCGAACTCTATCCAACAATATAATTTTATATTTATTGGTAATACTTTTTCTAACATCATATTTTTGAGTGTTTGACTTTGACAGAGTCAAAAAATGGTTTAATTGACCTTTACTCAAAAAAGTTCTTACATTTAATTTATTCTTATGATTTATTTCAATAATTCATTTCGAAGTTCACATCACAGACAAATTCTTCATTTATTCTTAATTTGGGTATGTATTCAGGTTCCCAATTAAGATCACATAATAAGTCAACATATTGGATTTATCTTTATGAGACTTATCCAGATTGTGATATTAGATATCGGAACATCTTTCATTTCGGCCCAAAGCCCAATAACAATTTATTTTTAATCAAAACAAATTTGATTAGTTCAATATTTATTCATTAATAATTCTAGGGTATGTTTTGGGGCGTTACATATATTGTTCTTAGTATGGAGTTGAACAAGAACGATTTTTACAAGCGTGTCAAGCTGGGCCTGTGTCCGCATGCTACATTATGAGAGTTTTTTAGGCCCGACCCCAGCCTAACTATTGAAGCCCGAGCCCGATCCGCATGAATACCCACAGGCTTTGGCCTGGCTCGATCCGCACGTCAAAAACTTTTAAATAATAAAAAAATCATTTTTTAAAAAATAAAGTAATATATTAATGTGTTAGATGCTTTATATAATAACTATAATAAGTAAATGAAAAAATAACTAATATAAAATGTGTTTTGTTTGATATTTCTACAATGTACGGAGTACAAGATATTATTTATTAGAATACCATTATCAATATGTGATACATAGTAAGCAATACGGAGTAATAAACATGTATTTATTTTATTACATATACTTATAAGTCAGTTTTTTCTCCATAGAAGTATGCATATGTGTTTATAATAATTTGAAGTATTATTATTGTTGTTGTTGTTGTTGTTATTATTATCTTATTATAGTTATACTAATAATAAATATTTTAATTTACTTGGGTCGGCCCGGCCCATGGGCTTGAGCATAAAACCCAATACCGGTCCTAAAATATTTAGACAACCATTTATAATGCTCAAGCCCGCTCTGTATCCTAAAATGTCAAGTCTAGGCCCGCTATTTTGCGGGCGGGCTGGATACCCAAATCCGTGATCGGGTCTACTTAGCACTCAAGCCATGGGAGAAGTTTGGTTTCTACACTTGATAGCACAGAAGGTTACTTTCTCATTTCCAAAAAAATCGTTACTTTTCTTTTAAGAGGTTTCCAAAAAGCCTTTTCTTTCATTTTTAGAATATTTTGAGTGTTTCACAATCTTTTTTGAGAAAGAGATAGAGAATTAATGATGAGAATGTTGTTTTGATTTGTAATAGGTATGTCGATTTAATCAATTAACAACTATCGAAGAAAGTGCATGCTTTCTCTCTAAAATAATGCTAGAATCACAAATAAAACACTTACAAAACGTACAAACTTGTCATTTGTGTATTTTAATTTTTATTTTTTAATTATTTGAGACTATAATTTAAACCATTATTTGACATATTGGGTAAATTTGCGCATTTTGTCAATGTTTATTTTGTGAGTATACATTATTGTGATTGGGAGTTGGGACCTAATTAATTAATTAGGGAAAATTTCACACTTGAGTTTGCAAGTCTTTTGCAGAAATGAAAGTGCCATGAAAGCCATATGGCACCCTTGAAGGGAGCTTCACGGTGGCCTGCAACTCCAAACTCACCCCGTCCACAATCTGAAGCTCCGATTCCCATGTCTTCTCATCGTGCACAAATGAAAGTATATGCCCTTCGTCTTCCTTATTATCCCCCTCCTCTTCTCTCCCCACGAAAAATGGTTCCCCTCCGTACCTCCCTTCCCCGTACAGATACTTCTTCAATTCCCCACTTTCCAGGTCCACTTTCGCAAAGCCCAAAACTTTCGGCCATGGCTCCGCTATCGCGAGATATGCGTACTGGGTTTTCCGTCCGACCCGGTTCCGGTTCACCGTCCCCACTTCTAAGTTGATCTGCTCTGTTTCCAGGATGATTCGCCGTTTTCTTGATTCTCCGGTGGTCGGGTTTAGCCGGATTTCGGTCAGGGTGATCTTGGGATCCTCCTTGGATTCGTTGAAGATCGAATCGGGCGGTGTCATGCAGGAGCAGATTACCACGATTTCTTGATTTTCCGGCTCTTCCCAGGCGTTCCAGATATGGAGGCTGCACGTGTCCGGCGACTCGACCCACGTGATGTCTTCGCCGGTCTCCGCGGTTTTCTTGAGGATCCCGAATCGGGATTTCTTTTCCTTGTCGTAATTCACCGGGGATCCGCCGGAGACCATGGCTTGGATCCTGAAAACCAGTTGCTGGTCCGGGATGATGACGTGGTTCTCCGTAATGGCAAAGTCGTGGGTCATTGTCGGGACGTCGATCGGGATTTCCACGTCCGGTGACTTTTTCCCGGAGGGGGAAACTTTGAAGTACTTCAAATAGGGCTTTTGTGCGACGTGGTAGCTCAGCGCGAATAGCTCGCCGGATTCAGGGTCGAGTTTCGGATGGGCTATCATTGATCTTGTCAGGCTCCCGTCAAAGTCGTATCTTCCGACGGTCTCCAGGTCGCCGGAAGGTTTGACCCGGATATGGTACGGAAGATCGTCTTCCGACATCGCGAGTAGTCTCCGGTTGAAATAGACCAGACCGACGTTTGCTAGCCCGGTTCCGCGGCTGGTGTTGACCAGGCCGAAGAGGCCGCGAGCGGAAAAGAGGAGAAGCCGCGCTAGACCGGGGCGGCCATGGAGTTCGCCGATTGGTCTGAAGAAAACGGGCCGGCCCCATTCTCGCTCCTGAACCAGCCTTGACGTCTCCGTGAACCGGCAGCTGTAGCTAACCTCATTCCCGTTAATTGTGACGGCGTGAACCATCCCTTCGCCGTCGAAGACGTGGTGTCCGGCCAGGGGTTTAAAAAGCGGGTTAGCCCCATTCCGGACGTAAACGCCGTTAATGCACTCCGGGATGGTCCCGACGACGGGAAGGTTTTGGCGGACGGGCTGCTCTGGCACGGGAGCGAAATTCCCGGCGATTTGAACGTCTGGGTCTGCAAATTTGGGGAGCCGGCGCCGAAGTTCGAGCCACACCACCGCTCCCTCCGCTGCATCCAGCGCCGCCGCCGCCGCTTTCTGGAGGAGGTTCCATTTGGGTCGTGATGACGTGGCGTTGGGTTCCGGCGCCCATAGAGAAGAAGAATTTAAAGACGCCTCACAATGAACTTTGTTTGGCTTTCGCATGGAAATTGGCCTTCTTGAATAAGTGAAAATTGGTTGAGTATTGCATTGATTAAAGCTAGAAGGTGTTCCATATGTCATTTTCATTTGTTACTTTTCTTGTGAGTTTTGGGGAGAAATGGAGATGGGTAATGGCCTTCTTGGGGAGAGGAGTTATATAGAATTTGATTGGAAATTTGGGGGATGAAATATGAAAAATTAAGTGAAATTATTTCCAAATATAGGAATAGATAACCAGACTCCTTTTGGTAAGGGAAAAAAATGTTTTTATAAAATATTGATTGGTGTCTATTGGTTAGGTTCAAAGAGTGCTAATTTGGGTTCAATGAAGGCGTTTTAGTAAACCGATTGGGCTTGATATTGTTTGAATGTGAGAGTTTGGCAGAAATTTAAATGGATAGTATGATTAATGATTTCACATTAAAATAAGCAAAGAGGTTGCCTCTTTTTTATGTACACTTCTAGTGATTTTTTCCTTCATTGTAACAAAGTTATTAATTCTTATAAAAAAATCATAACTTCGCATGTATTAGATACAAAAAGCAATAGGGGCCAATTTTTTTGTTTGAGCTGAGGAATATGCATAAATAGTCATTGTGGTCTTTCATAAATGGGTAAATAATTCTCAAACTTTTAAAAATTGAAAAATAGTCACTATGCTCAAAGAAGCGTTGTATAATTTGTTTTTCTTTTAGGAAAAATGTAAAGAACGTAAAACACACGCATATTATACAAAGATGTGAAGCATGCAATAATAAAAAAAACTGATCTAGGCTTTTAATTGTGATGTGTAAGCTTGAAGCGTAGTACAACGTCTTCTATTTTTTAACTCAACTCTCAAAGAAATTTTTTCATGTCTTTCATAGCATTTTTTTTTTGAATAATAATACAATGCTCTAAATGAGATAGTCATAATTCCAATTTTCAAGTATATTTATTCTAAAAACACAAAAAAGTGTTAAAAACGGAGTAATTGTTTAAAAACCCAAAAAAATGTTGCTCGATGGTAAGTTACCCAAATTTGTGCCGTCATCGTCTGAACTCATGCCATGAATAAAGTGTCCTCAAGCCAATAAAGGGAGGAGGGGCTAGCTCCCACATCGAAAGATGTTTGGAACTTGTTTCCCATTCACTTGATTAGAAAATTGACAATACCATACATGGCACCCTCATTACTCATATGCAAATGCCAGTGGACATTACGCAGTTGACAAAAGTAAGAAGTGTTAAGTGAGTAAAACCCGAGCTTAAGAGACTTTACTCTTTGCCACTAATTTGTAATCAAAATCTAATTAACTCCTCTTAATGACTGTTCGGTCGGATATGAGGGAAACCTTCGGGGACGGGGCTCATCCTTTTTTAGATGTAGAAGATTTTAGTTTCTATTCAATTTCTTGTCCTTTCTTTTTTCTTCATTTTTTTTCACGGAAGGGTTTGTCCAATTTCATGTCATTCTTTCTTTCAAGCTTGAAAATGTATTCCATAATAAATTTCTAAGAGAAATCATTCTAAATAGGATTAAACCATAGAGATGTACCAAAATAGAAGTTTTATGTTTTTATTCTCTAAATAGGAGTTTGCATTGTGGTAATGAGAAACTATATATGTGCATTTTATGTAATGTACATGACCATGTTTGGTAATGTAATTAAGTGTAATTTAACTCCTATTTTGAGAATAAAAATATGAAAGTCTTATTAAATTTATTTTGATATATTTTCAATATTTTACTCTTATTTTAATCTTTTTCCCAAAACTATTTTGTGATACTCCATATGTTTCTTTTCTCAAACCAAACTACCTCAATCAAAACAAACAAAAAGGTGAAAAAAAAACTTTCAACCATGCTATGGATACATCAAGAAGTGTATTCTAAATTGTACTAAAATGGATGTACCAATATTTTAACAGTTCACACTGACATAAAATGTTAGTTCAAAACACTGATATTTTGTATCATTATAAATCAATACACTAACATCACACTAAGATAAAATATTGGTACATGCCTTCGAGGTACACCAATTTTGATGTACAAATATCATTTTCCAAAAACTGGATTAAGATTTGGAGGGAGTATTAATGTACTCCCTCCGTCCGAAAATATTCTTTCCATTTGACTTTTCTTGGTCAAAGTTTGTAAACTGTGACTATGATATGTAAAAAAATATATTGTATTACGATATAACTTTAATATGAATATATTCATTTTGAAATATAGTTTTCATATATCAATTTTTTATAAGATATATCCATGTATAAATAAAGATATTAGTGGTCAAAATGCAATCTTGGATAACGTAAAAAGTCAAATGGGAAGAACATTTCCGGACGGAGAGAATATTATTAATGAATATCTTGAATGTTTTATTACTCCGTATATGGTTGGGCACGTGATGATATATGATCGATTACTTGGCTCCTGCACTATGGCCGGGCGTACTTAGGACGCTCCCAAACGGAGCGTGAGGCTGATCAGGAATCCGTGATTCTTATTTATACAATTATACGAAAGAAAGATAATTTATTTAAATATCACTAAAAAATAATGACTTTTCTATATAACACAACATGTGTTTTTCTTTTTAATGTAGCACTTTTAGTCATTATGCATTAGTCATTATTCAAGTAAATATTCGACATCACTAAACATTATGGACATTATTAAGTGCTATTTAGGGAATAAATCAGTTTAAGTGCTATATAGGGAAATAACTTAAGTTTTAGTGCTATTAAGTGCAAAAATTTCTTATACGAAAACTTAAAGTCCATATTAATTTTACGGACCTAAGTATATTTGTAGTCTAAATAAGTGAAATATTTTCAAACTAGAAAATATCCACATGAATATCTATGAAAATATGAATATGTCCACATTTTAAATATGGACCTTGGGATAATGCATGATCACTCTTCTATTAAACACAAAATTTAGAAATTGGTCCTTTATAATAAGAAATTTTTCAAATTTAATCTTTCATTATCAAATGTTATGCTCGTGATTTTCTTTTATGAGTACATTTCCACATATTATCTTTTATTTTATCTTCTATCAGGTTAGTGTTAATTTGAGAGTTAAAAATACAATTTCACAATGATCATGTATCTTTCTTATCATATAAAATTCTAGAGGCCGCTTGTGAAGTGTCGTTTGTGAATCACAGTCTCTGTCTACTATAACAATAGTCTACAAGCGTGGTCTTTCGTCGGAGTTCTAGTCTTTAACCATAGTCGTTAGTGTTATGTTGTTCGTCTAACCAACATCAGAAATTTAGAATACATTACTGGGCAAAAGTTTGATGGGAAATTACACTTTGCTCTCTCTACTTTTGAGTAGGGGCAAAGTTTGCGTGCATACACCATCCCCACACCCTACTCTCGTGGGATACAACTTGATTGTTGTTGTTGTAACACTTTAACTCTCAAATTAATATTAACATGATAGAAGGTATAAAAGGACTATTTGTGGAAATGTTCTTATGTACCATAAAAGGATTACAAGAGTAATATTTGACAATAAAGAACTTAATATGGAAAAACCTTTATAATAAAGGACATATTATAGAATGTACTTCAAAATTTATTCAAGCATGCTAAGTGTACCCCAAAGTTTCTATCTCAAAGTGTACATCAAATGTTTATGTTTACATTTTGATGACTTATGTTGACACAAAATATCATTACGATTGAAAATTTTAGCTAGCATTGATATTTTGTGTCAGTGTAAGTCATTAATCTCGCGCTTACATTGATAAATGTAAGTGTAAAATTTTGAGATACATTTTAGGGTACAAGTAGATTTGTTAAAGTTTATTTCAAGCATCAAAATTTTAGATGGAAAGCTCATTTTCTTATAAAATCTCAGAAAACTCATTTAGTTTCAAACTTTTGACTCTATCGTGTTAGAGCATGTTTGGGAATAGCGTTAGCGATTAGCTTTAGCGTTTTGAAAATGCTATCTACGGGCAGCGTTTAGCGTTAGCATTTTCAAAGTAATCCGCACCTTTCAATTTTATCCAAAAAACTAACGTTAATCTCTAATGCTATTACCAAACTGGCCCTTAATAAGTTGAAAAAGTACTTTAAAAACAAATAGTACTCCGTATATTGTAATAAAACTAAAAACATTATAAAAGTAGATATGTTTCCACTTGTGTAGTGTACTTCAACGGATGAGCATTCTTTTTCATTATTCCAATTGTTTCAAAATAAAATTTATTTTCGCGATACAATTTTATTCTTGATATCAAAGTTAATTAAATTTGTTTCAGTAATTATTGCTCTTCATCCAAAAAGGATGTCACATTACGCAAAACAAAATAAAATTTTAATTCTTTTTAAATTAATTTTACTTAAAAATTGGTATAAAAATAAATAATAAAATTTACATATTTAAGAACTGCGTCAAAGTTTTACAAAACAAGAGGCAACACGCATATTTTGTTTTATAAAAGAATCAATGAAAATATATAGATAAACAAAAGCTCTCATGAATTTTTACTTCGTAATAGTGAAGGGTGAATTGTTTTTAGAACAAATGAAATTATAAATTGCTATGTTCTGTAATATCTTCTAAAAATCACATCACGATATATTTATGAATAGTAATTTTATATCTACCTAAAAAGTAGTTTTATACTACGAGCCTGTTCTTTAGAGCTTGAACTATTAACTTCCAATTTTGTCCAGTTTCTTCAAGTTCTTTCCTGTTTCTTCTAGTTCTTCCAGTTCTTTCCAGTTGTTTCCAGTTCTTGCGAATTTTTCCAATTTTTTCCAGTTTCTTATACTCCCTCCGTTCTCAAAAACACTTCTTCTTTCATTTTTTTTACTTCCAACAAAACACTTCCCCTTTCTATGAAAAAATCACTTTTACCCATACTTTTTCATACCCTACCTATCACATCATACTTTTTCTCTAATAATCTATCCATCACATCTTACTTTTACCCATCACATCAGGGGCAAAATTGGAAATCAACTATAATTTAACACTTCCTTATTTTTGACCCCAAATCAAATGGGAAGGGTTTTTCCAAACGGAGGGAGTAGTTTTTTCCAACTATTTTTATTTTCTTCAAACTCTTTCTACTTCCTGACCAATTATTCTAAAAATGATATATTAATATTATTATTATACCTATTATGTTTATAACTATAGCTTGTAAATTATTTCATTTTTTCATCTCACTATTTTTATGATTCACACCAATTATTATTATTTTTCAAATTTTTAATATGAATAATACTATTTTTTGTATATTAATCTACAATATAAAATAAGAAAACATCAATATTTTAAACTATTTAAAAAAAACTATGGATAAAATAGTTGCATAAAATGTTTTTAATCTAAATTTATATAAAGAAACATCAATATTTTGAAAAAGAAACATCAATATATTTTAATGGAATGGAATGGAGAGTACTACATTATAAAAACCAAGAGAGAACTATATCTTGAGAAAGAAAAAACAACCCAAAAAGTGTAAAAAAACAAATTCAGATAACAAATAATATCACCAGTAATTAAAATACAACAAACAAAAAGTTATACTTTCATTTATTTGATCTAGTTTTTATTGTCTCTAATATGTAAAATATTGTGCATATGAATGTAAATAATCCATTCATCTTCAACAAAATCATATTGTAAAAATTATACTCTGTATTTAGGTTCTTCAATTAAGCTTAACTGTATTCTAGAATATTAACAATTATTTAGTCTCTAAATTGCTTCATTGCATCTTTAGTTTGTTAATCAAACAACATGACATTGGACCTATCTTCCGTTGTTTGCTACCTCGGTAGAAGTAAAACATAAAAAATGTTAAAACAAGTTTTATGTCTTTATTCCAAAAGTAGGGTTATAATGAAAAAAATCAATCATTAAAGAAAAAATATGTTTGATTACATTATGTGACATGTCTGATATTTAAAATAAAATCTTGTAATATATAAAGTATAATTAAAAATATATTATTTTATGATAAATATTACATAAATAATTAAAGTGACGTGCAGCGTAACCACAATAACTTTTAAATATTTAACATTTTGATATTTATGCTAATTTTATATTCTAATTAATTTTTTTTGCAAAAAGCAGTTTTTTTAAAGAAAATTAACAATATTTTTTTTGTCTTAAAAGCAATCATTAAGATAACGTGATAATGACGATGACAACAACAACATTAATAAAAACAACAACATTAATAATTTATAATAATAAGAATCAGAATGAGAATAATATAAAAATACACAAAAAAAAATTTTAAAGTTCTTTTAGATTTTCTCATTTTTTCTAGTTTCTTCCAGTTTATTCGAGTTCTTCCAGTTTCTTTTAGTTTCTTCTAGTTTCTTTTAGTTCTTTCCAAATTCTTCCAATTGCTTTTAGTTTCTTCCAACATTATTTTAAAAAAAGTAATGAATAATGAATCGTATTTCCAAAAAAAATGAATCGTACAATTTAATGTAATTTGACTTCAAAAGTTAAAAGTGTCAAATTGTCCAATTTGTGATGTAAACACAAAGTACGATTTTTTTTCTTTTTCTTTTATGAGAACACAGCAGAACTGAACTGTCTTCTTCATGACTTCATGATCATCCATCCATCCATTTTTTTTCCTTAATCCAGGTTCGTACCTTTTCTTTACTTTCAACTTTAATTTCCATTTTACCTTCAATTTCCGCTCTTATTTCCCTCAACTGATAACCAATAAAGATTAACTTTTTCGCATTCTAAAAATATGGGTATTTCTTTAATGTGAGGGGGTTTTCATTTTCTTGAGGTTCTGAACCAGCTAGCTTCTAAAGTCCTACTTGGTACTGCAAACCCAAAATTTTCATATTTGGAATGTGAAATGATTTTTTGGGTTCATATGGAATTCCCAGTTTTCCAATTCCGTGGGATTGGCCAAATTTCAGCCACAAATGCTGGAACCCCTTTTTGTGTGAATATGATTCCAAAGTTCAGAAGTTCAAATTCACGAGGATTTTGTGTTTTTTGTGTCTTATTTTGCACCCTTATTTTGTTTGGAAAAATAATGCCCATTGACAATCAGTTTTGATGGAGTAGGGCTATAAATGGAATTGGTTGTGTTGAAGAAGGGAAGGATCCTCCTAATTATGTGAAGGCTGGAGATGCAAAGGGTGATGGTATCATCTGAACAGTCTCTAGTGCATAAACTGGGGGATTCCAATAGGACATTGTCCCCCAAATTCAGGATAGTGTCTCTAAGGTCCTCACTGCTAGATGACCCTTCAATGGACAATGAATTGGCTGTGAAGGGGGAGCCCCTACTTCCCGGCCTCCCGGACGACGTGGCTCTCCATTGTCTCCTCAGAGTCACAGTCGACAACCATCTTTCGTGTAAAGGCGTGAGCAAGCGTTGGTTTTTGCTCTTTGCCCACAAGGAGAGATTCTTCTCCTTGAGAAGAGAACTTCTGTTCCACGAGCCGTGGCTCTTCGTGTTGGCCTTCCACAAACGCACTGGCAAGATCCAATGGAAGGTTCTAGATCTCACCAACTTTTCGTGGCACGCGATCCCTCCCATGCCCTGCAAGGACAACGCCACCGCCCATGGCTTCCGGTGCGTCTCCCTACCCCACATGGGGGTGATGTTTGTTTGTGGAGGGCTAGTCTCGGACGCGGATTATCCCCTCAACTTGGTACTCAAGTACGAGGTTGGGGCTAACCGTTGGAGCGTTATGAAAAGCATGATCACCCCAAGGTCATACTTCGGAATTGGGCTTATAGATGGGATGCTTTACGTAGCTGGTGGGAACGGTGCAGAGCTTTTTGAACTCAACTCAGCTGAAGTCCTAAACCCAAGTAATGGGACGTGGAGACCCGTGTCCAATATAGGAATGTATCTCTCCTCGTACGACTCCGCGGTTCTCAATGGGAAGCTTTTCATAACAGAAGGTTGGTTTTGGCCCTTCTATGTTGTCCCAATGGGACAAGCATATGACCCAAAAACAGACACGTGGGAGGGCATACCCTCCGGGCTTAGGGAAGGTTGGACAGGTTCAAGCGTCGTGATTGAAGGGCACTTGTTTGTTGTAACCGAACACGAGGGAGATAGTTGGGACACGGTTGATGGCCCTCCGTTGCCAGTGCAGATATGTAAGCCGTTCTGCGTGAGCTGTTACGGCAACAGGATCGTTGTTGTGGGACAGTACCTTAAGCTCGCTGTGGGACTCGTGACCAAGCGCCTTAAGACTTGTGGGAAGGAGTTTGGGTTCAATGTTCAATGGCGAGTTGTGGATGCGCCCGATAACCTCTGCGAGTTCTCGCCATCCAGTGCACAGGTTCTCTTCGCTTAGTTTTCATTGCTACTACCATTGAAAATGTTGTCTAGTGAAGAAGTGATACAGACAGAATAATAATTACATAATTTAATTAATTATATTATATTATTTTAATAGATAGTTTAATTATTCTGTGATATACGAGTATATATTTATAGTGTCAAGTCTTTCTTGTAGTTGGCACTTGTATAATGCATGTTTGTGTTTTTCGGAAGTTATGTTTGGGAACCTTAAACTTGTGTACTCTTTTGTGGTTGGGAGATGATACGGACAACGTATCGGATAGGGAAGACTCAGAGCGTCTTCGAGCTCTTGGGAATATGGGACTAGGAGAAGAAGAAGAATTGAGGCGAAGGAGAGAATCGGCGAACCGAGAGGGAGAAGGGATTAGGGTTTTGATTTGTTTATTCATTGAATAACTCTAAAGGGGATTACATCTCTTTATATAGGGAAGAAGGAAACCTAAAGCTAACCTAAAGGTTCAATAAAAGCGACGAGGGAAAGAACCGTAAAGAAACCTCGAAGGAGCTTATAATTTCGCTCACCTAATAAAATCTAAATTACAATAATAATAATAATAATAATGATAATGATGATAATAATAATAATAATAATAAACTAATAAATATATAATCAAATATCCTACTATATAATCCATAACACTCTCACCCCCTTAGAAAACCACCTTGTCCTCAAGGTGGAGGCTCCCACTCATGCTTCAGTACTGGAGAGAAAATGATGACCCAAAGACTATGACCACTTGATGTCAGATCTTCATTAAGCCTACAGATTGGAGTATAGCGATGGGCATAAGCGAGAAGAGCAAATACAAACTTAGCTGCCCGCGGTGAAACCCAATACTCGGACTCCACTTTGTTCGCATGGTCGGAGGTCTGGATGATATCAAAGGACAATGAGATGTCCGCTTGCGTATAATTCACATTTGCTACTTGGGTGGTTTTGGACGGAGGCACAAGGCTACATGCGATGATGGCATTGCACAATGTTTGATCCTTTGCAACTTCCCCCTTACCCGGTGCATCTACGGGTGTATCAACAACTACAAGATCTAATGGAAAGGCATTAACAATACCTTCAACAGAAACACCATCATCAGCAACTTCAAGAACTCTCACTGAATTACGAACAGTACGCTCCACAGATTCCATGTCCTTAGATGTTGGATTGTGTAGAGTGGTTGAAGGGGCCAGATCAAGTGGAGCAATGGGAACACCGAGAAGATTCCTTATAGCGTCCATCATCTTTGTTTTGAAACTTTTTAACTCCAAGGGAATATCACTCAATTCCATTGGAGTACCACACACCAAATCTTGTATCGAGCAAGAGATTTCCACATTGAACGCATATAACTCAGAATCAGAATACGGTAGATCTAAAAGATGACGAAATAAGTGGAGCGTCTTCAAGATTTCATCCACATGATCATAAGCTATACAGACTCCGTCATGAAACTCAACTCTTCCATAAAAGATATTCTTCAACACACCAAGAAGTTTGTTCAAAGCATCGTCCATGGTCACAATAATTTTATCAAAAATCGAAACCATAGTTGTGGCAAGACGGATCCAAAAAACCAATGCACTCAAATTGAAGGTAAATCTTTGAGACAACACAAAAAATGCAGCAAACCACTTCTCTCTCTTTTTTTTTGCAGAATCGGCCCTTTTCTTTTTGTTACACGGCAACAAGGAAAAGGGAACAAGCTCCTATTTTCCCACTTTGGGTGCAAATAGCACTCCTAAATTAACAAAATAGGGAGTACCTTTACAAAACTGGGTGAAGCAATCTCTTTGTCGGCCGCACGAACGGATCCGGAACGGTTGGGTGCAAAATTGCTCGGTCGTGGGACTTTTCGAACCCGCCGGCGATTGATATGTTCGGATTGATTTTTTTGAATCTGCCGATGATTGATAACAATTCAACCGCAGGGTTTTTTTTTTTTGGTTTTTATGGGTTGTCGGCGGGAGCAATTTTAGGAATATGTGGCGGCAACTCCTTTTTGTTTATAATCCTCAAAACCCAATCACAACCTGAATACCAAGGCTTTGCAACTGCTTTTTGTTTATAATCACCAGCCTTAAGCAATTTCTTCCAGATGTTCAACCACTTTCAGATCTGATTGGACTTTTCTTGCTTCTTTTTTTTTAGGGTTTTGATTTTGTGGTGTCGAATCTCAATGAAAGCACCAATGATACGGACAACGTATCGGATAGGGAAGACTCAGAGCGTCTTCGAGCTCTTGGGAATATGGGACTAGGAGAAGAAGAAGAATTGAGGCGAAGGAGAGAATCGGCAAACCAAGAGGGAGAAGGGATTAGGGTTTTGATTTGTTTATTCATTGAATAACTCTAAAGGGGATTACATCTCTTTATAAAGGGAAGAAGGAAACCTAAAGCTAACCTAAAGGTTCAATAAAAGCGACGAGGGAAAGAATAGTAAAGAAACCTCGAAGGAGCTTATAATTTCGCTCACCTAATAAAATCTAAATTACAATAATAATAATAATAATAATAATAATAATAATAATAAACTAATAAATATATAATCAAATATCCTACTATATAATCCATAACAGGAGATTTCTGATCTTGTATCCTTGCGTTTTTTCTACCAACAAGTTAACGAGCCTCCAAAACTGAAATCCGATTAAAAAATCGAAACTAAATTCGTTATCAATTTAAATCATATGTTATTATTTACGAGGTTTGACTAAAATTATTTTCAACACAGTTTAGTTGAATGTTGATATGAAATTAAAAAATTAAAATTTATATATTTAAAAACTACATAAAAATTTTAATTTCTCCGTCCCATTTTATATTGCACGTTTTGAATTTGGGACATTTTTAAGGAAGGGAAAAAATGGTGTTGACTTTCCAAAAATGCTCTTATATGAAGGTGGCGATGAATGAGAAGATGAGGTGATTTTGCTAGAGAATGAGCTAGGGTATTGCTACATCTTCTAATATGTTTAAGAGCATTTTTAGTGGGAGGTGCTCAAGAGGAATTCCGAGTTAAGATACCCTTCTTTCACTTAATAATTCTTGTAAAAAAATGAAGTAATTAGTGCTCCATGTATGATCCACATAAGTTTTAAAACACTTTTTTGGGTTACGCAATTTTCTAAGCACCTTGCATTAAAAATGCTCTTAAGCCGAAAACCGAAAACCAATCGTCATAAAACCTAAAACTGGTTCGGACTTTTCATATCCAAAATCTAAAACTGGTCACCAAAAATGAAAACCGACATTATTTACACTTTAAAACCGAAACCAAATTTGAGATCTATACTGCCTTGTTTAGGAACGACATTTTCAATTAGGATTAGCATTTGAATAAATTTAATGATATTTATTAATTTTGAAAACGTTAGACTAAAAAACTACTCCGTATTAATTCTATTTTGGGTCACTATTGTATGTCGGGACGGTTAAAAATTAAAATGTCCACCCATACCCCAACATTTCATCCTTTTTGGTCAAATTAGCCAGATATTAGATGAGGTACCAGAGAAAATGGAATAGATCCATAGATGGGGCAATACTGAGAGTCTTCTTCTGATCATCAGAGTTGAGAGAGAGAGGGAATGGGGGCGGTGACAGCATCGTTGATAGCAATAGCGGGAGTAGCACTGGGGTGGATCACCATTGAGGTGGCCTGCAAGCCTTGCCTGGACAAGGGCCGCGAAACCCTAGATCGCAGCCTCAACCCGGAATACGACCCGGACGACGACGACGACCTCCGTGCCCCTCTCGTCGTCCACAATCCCACCCCGTCCCAACCCTCTTCTTCCACCAAACTCGTCTGATCCAATCCCATCCCATCCCGTCCTCCTTTCTGGGTAGGCTCTGCATTTGCTCCAAACTCCGATCCGGTCCGTTTTGGTTAGTAGTGTGTTGTAGCTGGTATTTTCCTCTTCTTTCATTGTGGTGTCACTGACCAATCCGTACAGTTCCATCGTCACTTGCAGATGCTGATATTGTCGGCACTTTAGTATTCCAAATCACACTGCTCCCCTCATTGAAGTGTCTGAATGCCTCAATAGGCTCATGACAATTGGAGATCCATATATATACACACACTTTGCCATTGATACGCTATCACTTACAACGAACCACGGATGATTTCCCACCAAAGCATGAACCAATTACTCCTTTTAAATCACTACTAAGAGAAGAACATAAGTGAGTTGGTTCATTCTTTGGTGGATATCAACTTGGTTCGTTGTAAGTGCCACTATGAATGTTAAGGTATATATGGAGTCCCAATTATCATGAACTAATAGAGGCTTTGTTGGGACACTCTGATAAGGTGAGGAGTGTGAACTGTAATACTAAGGTGCGGACGGTACTAGCATCGGCAAGTAATGATGGGACGGTAGGGATTTGGTCACCTGATCGAATTTCGACGGAATAAGAGGAAATATCCGCTACAACGCACTACAAACCGAAATGGCTGGGAGTTTGCAAATATCCGCTTTGTTTCATTAATTCTAGCATTATCTTTGTGGTATTCTCCCTCTATTCCTTTTCAATTGAACAATTTCTTGATATATTGTCAAATGAATGAATGTACACATAAGATATATCTATAGTTTATGAGCTAGGAAATGAACTCGGGATTGTTATTTTCATGGATTTACTGATTACTAATCAAAGTAATTGCTGGTTTTGTATAATTATAGTGGGACTGTTAAATACTCAAAGCTTATCAAAACTTCATCGGAGCATCAAAAGATAGATTTGGTCCGATCCCTAACTATTACTCCATAGTTTTTCTAGATTTTGAGCACAAGTATTGTTACATTTTGCTACTTCTTATTGTTGTTTTTCGAGTGAAAGTAAGAATCCCAAATGCCAATATTTCATCGCCAAATCCCTCTCACGACTAAACGCGAAAAGCTCCCACCCCCAGAGTTTCCCCATCAACTTAGCATTTTAGGATTTAAATTGTCAATTCTACCCATGAAATCTTCAGCGAAATTGAACGGTTGGTGCAAATTTGCAGTTACCATAAGAGGAAGAATGATTCGCAAAAGATCAGTGAAAAAACAGTGTTTTGCTTGTATCATACTGGGAGAGCAATGTATGAGTCTCAATCTTTCCAAAGACTATTTTGAAAAGCAATTCTTTATCAATTAGGTCTGATCTCTTTTCTCCCTTTCGTGTGTTGTTCCTTTGGTGCTGAAATTGTGTTTTTAGGCTGAAATTTGGTGAACTAGTTAGCAGATAGACATGTTTTTTTTGTTCTCCTCTAAGACTAGTTATAGTTTGGTCATTTTAGTACTTTTGTCATATCATTAACTTTTTGGAATTTTTTTATGTTAGTCTCAAAGCTTTTGAATTTTTTTTATAGATTTTTTTTATGTTAGTACCTTTGTCCTAGTTTGGTCTCTGGGTTATTTGGTCCGTGATTTCCCCTAATCCGGTTATAGTATGTGTGATCTTGGTCCACTGGTCCAGTCTGGTTTTGGACCGTTGTTTTGCCTTGAAGACCAAGGACTCGTGTTGCGGGCGTGGTCGACGGGCCATCCCAATGAATGACCATTTGGATAAAGTTGGAGCATCCGTCCCAAAATAAGAAAATACCTTGTGTAGAATTAACATATCTAGAAAGGGAAAAATCTTGTATAATACCAAATAAAACTGAAACAACAATATTGAAAATTTATTCATGGAGTTAAAAGAGTATGGACTATAATAGTCGTTGCAAATTTTTTAGAACAAATTTTTTATTACATTTAGATTGTGTTAAGTTTACAAAAATTTATGTCATTGCATCATTTTGCGATGCAATTTTATTACTCCATAATTGACAATTAAAATCGTCTATATTTGGTTCAAAAAATTTAAATTAGACATATATTCTAAGAAGGAGAGTATAAAATAAATTAATAACATAGATCTCAAATTGTCTCACAAAAGGGTCCCAAAATTTTTAGGACTGGCCTCATGTCTTAACAGGACCTTGTATGTGACCCTAAGTTGCCCAATGTTTTTGTTTTTTAATACTATAAATCAAAAGCTTTAAAAGTTAGGCGGGCCATAACTTTTATTTTATGAGTTCTTTCTCTTTATTTAGTTGAAATAATACGAAGTATATATTGAATCAGACTTGGACCTGTCAAAACGGGTCTATCACATTGGGGCCCCAAAAAAGAGTGGCCCATTAGAAAAACATATTTCACCTATAGCCACCAACACAATATTACTTGGCCGAATCAATAGAAAATATGTGACTAGACGATGAGGATACCCAAATTAAAGGAAAGATATTTGTGACATTTTATAATCCACATTAGTTTTTGTGCTAAAAGGAATTTAGACACATACTCTAGAACGAAGGAGTATTTGTTTATTAGTATCGAGACGTGTCAAGTGGACCTATTCAAACATCGCATATAAAATAGTACTCCGTACTATCTTCGTCCCAGTATATTTGTCCAGTTTGACTTTTTCAAGTCAAACAGGACAAACTTTGAACTCCAATTACTCTCAATTTATATTGTATATTACTCCGTAGTATAATGAAATACAATTTTGAAAGCTCTCAATATGATAAATTCAATAAAATCATTTTTATATTAAAATACATTCCGGTTTTTATTTAATTGAAGTTCAAAGTTTGTCCAGTTTGACTCGAAAAAGTCAAAGTGGACAAATACACTGAGACGGAAGGAGTAAAAAGTTAGGTCTAATGCGAGACGCAGAGCCATTTTCCCAAATTCCCTCGGCCCGCATTACGCTTCTGATGTGTCTTTTGAGTCGGCCTGCGATGATATGCACAGGCTTACAATGGTTCCCAAATGTCCCGAGTCCACATTACGCTTGTCTTGTGTCTTTCAACGACGTACATAGGCTTACAAGAGACGCTCATAACTTTTAATAACCTCATAGATGCTCCTTAATATGAATAAATAAGAATAAATATGAAGGTTCACAATCCTATGTGGAACAAACTCTTACACAAACTTATCTATTTTACGTGACGGATCGAATTTGAGAACCATAACCATTTTGGCATATATTATATCAAAACTTTCTCCTCGATAATCCAAAATAGAATTTTCATATTCTTTTTTCCCCCAAAATAGGACTTCTCATTGTGGTAATAGAATTTTCATACATTTTGGTAATGTACTGTAAATGACCATGTTTGGTTATGTAAATGCATTTTAAGTCTTACTTTGGGAATAAAAATTTGGAAGTCCTATTTTGGTACATTTTTAATGTTTTAATCCTACTTTTGTCTTTTTTCACTAAAAAAACTCAAACAGAAGATGGTCGGAGCAACTCTTGAGGTTAACTTTAGGGACAATGTAGTATTTTTATATCAATAAGATTCTGTTAACACTGACATTCAATATCAACAGATGACCCTCGAGTCTCTAGCTCATTGCAAACACTTCAGTTGTTCTATTTATAAAATTGATAGCTTCTACGTCTTAATACCGCTATCAAAACCATTAGTGAATACCATTGAAATTTTTATCCAAAAATGACCGTTCTAATGTTTTTTAACTCCAAATTTCCAACTATAACATCTATAAAAACTCTTGCACCGAGTCTTACACTCTTTCCATCCCTAAATGGATATCACTGTTACTACTGCAGTCTCTCGATAAATTTTTATTGTTTTCATTGATAATTTAATAAATAAAAATTTCTTGTCACCTCTTGTTTAATAGAAACTTTTATGTACTTTTAAATGTAATTTATTTTTTATTTCTGTATTAATTTTTAATCAAAATGATTTTAAAAAGTAATACTCCCTCCGTTCCTTAAAATCATTCCCATTTTGACTTTGGGCCAAAATAAGGAAATTGTAATTTTGGTTGACTTTTCAATTTTGCCCCTGATGTGATGGGTAAAAGTAAGACGTGATAGTTTGGTTATTAGTGAAAAAGTTTGATGTGATATGTAGGGTATGAAAAAGTAGGGGTAAAAGTGGTTTTTTAATTGAAAGTGGAAGTGTTTTAAGGAATTTAAAAAACGAAAGGGGAAGAGTTTTATGAAACAAAGAAAGTATAATTTTACACGTTGTTTAGAGAGTGACATCCATTATAGGACAAAGAGAGTAGGTAAGAAGTGAGGTTCTACCACGACATTATTACCGGTGTTGGAATATTTTAATGGTAGTGAAGGTGCACTTTCATCATCATTGTGACCTACGGACTACTACCTCCGTCTTTGAGTATTTGTTCAATTTTTTATTTTTGGTCAAAATTGACCCACTTTTACCATAAGTTAAATAAAAATGATATTAGATTTTGATACAAAAATAATTTTTGTTGAGTTATTTTCAAACTATTTTATAAAATAGTGTCAAAATATTATTTTATCTAACTAATATGTCATATATATTTTATTTAATTATATATTAAATGATGAAAATGATTGAGTGCAAAAAATGAAAACTAGACAAACATTCAGGTAGGAAGATAATAATATATTGCTATCATATTCTAGTAAGATGTATATACATGATGATAAGGTGGTATAAATGACAAACCTTATTTCTAGGGAAATTGCTTGAAAAGGGGTTTTTTGAGCGGTGCATCTGAATGACATTACATGGGAGGAAGTGAGATTCTAGTTGAGAGGTCTCCATTTCTACTAAAAATATTTTAAGGCTTTATTTGGTTTTAAAAAATTGGTAATAAAAAAAATTGCATAAAGGAATTTTTTTCTTATTTGGTTATAGAGGGAAAAGGAAATCTGGAAGAAAAAATAAGCTAGAAAATGAAAAAAAATCTTTTTAATGTAGTAAAAAAATTTAAGGAGAGATGTGTTTTTTTACTTCATTTCTTCCCAATTCTTAGAACTAAACATAGCTTAATGGTAGGGATGTAAAATCTTAAATAAGTTGGAAGCGACATGTCTCTACTGCTATTGGAAATAATTTAATGGAAATGATAGTGGATCTAATTTAATTAGAAAATGAAGTTCTTAGACACACATGTCGATATCCATCACTATTGAAAATGTTGGGATGATGGTGAGGATAAATCTCAATTACATAGAGAGTGAGGTTTTAACAAAAGCGTGTCTGTTATTGAAAATATCTTAAAAACATTAAAGTTGGATCTAAATTACATAAAAAGTGAGGTTCGAAGTGAGACGTTTTTTTCTTAGAAGTAAAAGTATTTCAAGGCCAATAATACTCAATCATAATTACATAGAAAGTGAGGTTCGAAGTGAGACGTTTTTTTCTTAGACGTATCTATATTGCTATTGAAAGTATTTCAAGGCCAATAATTAATACTCAATCATAATTACATGTGAAGTGAGATTCTTATTGAGCCGTTTGTATTGCTAGTGAATATAGGTTTATGAGAGGATCTAAATTGTTAAGAAATATTTTAATGGCAATGATAGTGAATCTATATTAGTTAGAAAATGAGGTTCTTAGAAATACATCTCTATCACTGTTGAAAATGTTTTATTGACAATGATGACAAATCCTAATTAGATGAAAGTGAAAGTTTTTTCCATTGAAAATATTTTAAATATAATAACGCAAAATTTTAATTATGTAGAAAATGAGGTTTTAACTAAGATGTTTTTCTGTTACTACTTAAACTACTATACTTTAATGATAATGAGGGTTAGGGTATAAAGCTTATCATGAGTCTACAACTACAAGCTTGAGCATTTGGTTGAATCTGTTCCATAACATGGTACCGAAGCTTTGATGACCAAGAAGTCACGAGTTCAAACCTGACTGCCACTATACCCTGTTTTAAAAAATTAATTTTCACGCGCAAGGTTCGAGCAAAAAGAAAAAAAATAAATTTTGTCTAGTCGTGAGAGGGCGTGTAAGATTGAAAAAATTCATGGGCCACCACCACTTGATAATGAATATGTATCTCATTTAAGTAGAAAGTGAGGTTCTAGCAAGTACGTCTCCCTATTACTATTGAAAATATTTAAAGATAGCCACACTTGATCTAAATTACATAGAAAGCGTGGTTCTAAATAAAACATATCTCTATTGCTAATGAAAATATTTTAAGGACAATAATACTAAATTGTAATTACATATATAATGAGGATCTAATTGAGATACTAGTGTTAGTGAAAATAGTTTAATGAGAGGATCTAAATTAGTTAGAAATTTGTTAGTAACAATGAGAGTGGATCTAGGTTAGAAATTGAGGTTTTTAGATACACATGTCCTCATCACTCTTGAAAATGAAGTTCTTTGCTTTTGAAATGATTTTAAGACCGCAACGCATGATTTAGTTATATAGAAAGTGAGGTTCTAACTGAAGCGTTTTCCCTGTCAATATTGAAATTCTTTGAGGTTGGACAGTAACAATAATGCATCTCAATTAGGCGGAAATTGAGGTGTGAGGTTCTACCAAACACGTCTCTGTTACTATTCAAATACTCTAAAGACAGTCACGCTAAATTTAAATTATGTAGAAAATAAAGTTTTAATGTGAGTTGTCTTCCAATTGAGATGTTGAATTCTTTCTCCTTATCTCAAGTTGAAGTGCACTATGAGCTCTTAATTGAAGATGATTGCCCAAAAAATTACTGCATACAAATATAACTAAAACTCCAATAAACTTTATTACAAGTGTTAGCATATTATTGCAGGCCAAATTACAAACTTAGACAAGGAAAACGAAAGAAGCTAAGAAAAGGACTCCTAATCTTCCACGTCTTCCTTGTCATCATCATCATCATGTTCATATCTTCCTGCTTTTACTTAATATTTTGATATTAATAATATCTATATATATATATAAATTATATATATATATAGAAATAGTAAAGACCTATATACACATCAAGAGGTGCTATATATATATATATATATATATATATATATATATATATATATATATATATATATATATGACAAAGCCTATATCTAGTAACATGGAAATTGCACCTGCACTTAAAGTGATGATGTATGTAGTACAATTATATTTCAAGCTTTTTTTTTATAATAGAAATTTGCTTGAAGATGGGTTATTGGAAGGGTTTGGAGGGGTGGGAAATTTGTTCTTCTCAAAAAGGGAAAGCCTATTTTCAGACAACTTTGTCTTGTAAGCTGACTTCTTGTACTCAGACCAGGAAAACTCATGGTACAAGCTCTCTTCCCCTTGTTCCATCAAGCAAGTTAGGGGTACTATCTTCTCACTCAATGGCGGCCCTCCGAAGTATATCATCGACACCCTCGCCTTCGCCTTCGGGCTGCTCGTCACCACTCTATGCTTCACGCTCCTGAACCTCCCGTTCGTCATCACCTATAATTTTTTTCAATTTTAAAAAAAATGCGGGTTATTTTTTCGATTGCAAATTGCTTTTGAGATGAAATTGCTCAATTTGTAGTCATTTTGACACTACTCCCCCAGTGTCATATTATGACACTGGTCAATTTGATTAGCAGTCATTTCGCACTGTTCCCGCAGTGTCATATTATGACACTGGTCAATATGATTAGCACTCATTTCGCACTGTTCCCCGGTGTCATATTATGACACCGGTCAATTTGAGCACCCTACCGTGTTCTGTTTGAACCCGAAGCGGTTCCCACCTCCCATCCCAGCCCGTCCCCTTCACGCCCCCAATCAGGTTGATATTTCGGTCAAAATTTTGAACGAAATGTCGCAATTGGAGGACTAAAGGTCACTTCGGAGTCAAACATAGCACCGTAGTTCACCAGTGTCATAATTACGACACTGGCCTCGGCCAGTGTCAAAATAACCGAGCCGGTTAGCGTAGTCGTACCTGTAGGGAGTCGCCAACCATGACGAAGAGGGAGCGGGGGTCGGGAGGGACGGAGACCCAAGTGCCGTCCCGGAGGGAGATTTGGAGGCCGGTTGTGTTGTTGGACCTCCCAACAGAGACAACCTGTGGGTCAGTGTGCTCTCCAAACCCAATCATCCCCCTCCTCCCATGGAAGTCGTCCGGCTGCGGCGGGTAATGGTTCACCCGGAAGCACGAATCGCTCCTCTCGTCCCTTATCAGCCTGCTGAACACATTCTTTGCCCCTATCTTCAACCCCTCTGCCATCTTCTCCAACACCTCACATGTCACACTCTTCACTGCCCCAACATACTCATTCACCAGCCCCCTGCAAGAAACAAAAATTGTCAGGAAACCGACTCAACCAAAAACTCAAACTTATGCCCAGAAAACATTTTTTCGTACCGGAATAGCTGGGAATTGGGAGGAAGAATGGAGGCTGGGGAAATGAGGTCTGGGTTGGTGGTGAAGAGGAGATACTCGACCCAACCGACATCCCCATTGGGTCCGATCGCCTTGTTCCCGTACCCGAAGGGGTTGGGAGGGCCAGCTTTGTCCTTCTCATGCTGGGGCAGGTTGAAGAACTTGAGAGCTTCTTCTTCAAGCCTGGCAGCCATGGCCTCCAGGGGGACGCCATGGTTGACCAGCTTGAAGAACCCAAACTCCCTGCAGGCCCTCACGATCTTGTTCTTCGCCTCTGCCTCCAGAAGATCTATCACAGGGATCTCCGCCGCCGCGAACATCCCCAAGGTGGATTTTCGCGGTGCTCCGGCGCGAGATTTGCTCTCTGCAACTGGCTGGGACAGCAGCAGCATGGCTTACAGGGGAGGAATGAAACAGAGGAATTATATTTTTTTTTTATCTTGGAAGGAAAATTTGGAGATTTGGTTGGAGAAATTGATGGTGAATCAATCAAGTGTGGGAAGAAGAAGCAGAGATGGGAGAGTTTAAATAGGGAAATGGGGCAATGGCAATGCATGAGAGAGCTTAGAAAGTGTAGAGGAAAGGCATTTGGCCTAGTCATGGTCTATCTGCTAGGGAATTTATTTATAGGATATCAAAGTGCTGATTTTTTTGGTATATAAATAATGGAAAAAAATCACATACACCACTTCACCTATTTCATATGTTTTGATCAATTTTTTTTATTTATTTTATAAATATAATATTTGCCTTGACAAAGAATTTATTTATAGGATATCAAATTGCTTAGCCATTTTGTTTACACTTGTTTTTTTTTTGTTTTATATATTGTAGTCAACAACTTAGTGTTTCCTAAAACACAAACTAAAAAAATATTTCATCCGCCATGAATTAATCCACTACATCTTTTTACTTCTTCACGAAATAATTGAACTCCGTGAAGTTAAATTAGAACAATTGTTTCGGGACAACGAAAGTACTATTTAACATTGTATATTACGTATTTACTCTTACAGTTTACTCCTTTCGTCTCAAAAAAGTCATTCTTCTTCTTTATTTTTGTGTCACACAAAATTTGTTTACTTTTAATAAAAAATTCACTCCATCCCAATTAATTCTTATCCTAACTATCACATCATACATTTTTACTAATAATTTACTACCACATCTTACTTTACCCACCACATCAAGGATTATTTCGAAAAGTCAATATAAAAATATCTCACCCTTAAATTTTCTAAAAGTCAAAATAAGAATAATTTTATGGGACGGGAGAGGTATTTCACAAATGTAAGTTTATTATTAGTAAATCATCCAAAATAAGAGCAAAACATAACATTATCCCCAAAATAAGAATATTGCACTTTGATAATATAACACTAAATATTGACTTTCTATGGTATTTTTGGTATTATATGTTGGTATTATTAACATTATAGGTCCTATTTTGAGGTTACAAATACAAAGATCTTATTTTGGTTCTTTTTCTGTTTTTTACTCTCGTTTCAATCTTTCTTTCGAGTAAAATTTGACATAAACAAAATAAAATAATTATGTCACCACATATTTTATTGAATTTTTAATTTAGTTTTTAAAGTTATATTTAGAACGAGAGAATGCTAAACAATAACAATTTTTTGGATAAAGAACATATATATATTCCATCTCTACCACAAAAGTTTGTACACTTTGACTTCAAGAGTTTTAAAAATCTTTATAAAATAAAAAGAAAAAGAAAAAAGATGAGAAATATACATTTTAGAACGAACTAAATGAAAAGTGAGAAAACTATTGTTAAGGGGTGAGAGTAATAATTAAGTTTGGAAAGAATGAATAACATGGGTGAGAATCAATAATTAAGTAGAAAAGAGAGACTATAAGTGCAATTACCCAAAGTGGTAATCAAGAGGACAGTTTCCCGGGAGGCCAATTAAAGGCTGAAAGTCATTATTATACGGTCAAGTCCCCCACTTGTTTGAGATGAGATGAGATGAGATTAGATGCTTATAAACGGCCATGTGGGCCCACTTGTTGTAACTAACCCCTTATGCTTCCCTTCTTTTGTACGGAGTTCTAAATACTCCGTATCTTCTCTGTCTCAATTACATCTCGCTATATTTGTCTTAAATTTAATTAATTTATTTAAAAATCGATACTATATAATTTTATCAAAAATAATACTCCTTCCATTATTGAAAATACTTCGCGTTTTGACAAAGTGCCAAAAAAAGGAAGTATAAAATTGTAGTTGACTTCCAATTTTGCCTTTGATATGATGGGTAAAATTAGGATGTGATAAATATATTATTTAAAAAAAAGAATGATATAAATATTTACTCCCTCCGTCCCTAAATATTATATCTCACATTTTCTTTTTCAGCAGTCGCGGGAACTTTTGTTTATTTCTACGTTTTCATTGATTATTTGATAAAATAAAATATTCTTGACAACTCTTATTTCGAAGAACTTTTCATGCAGTTTTTTTATATCTAAATTTTATTTTTATTTCTAAACCAATATGTAAACAAAATGAATTGAAAAAACTTGATATTTTACCTTGGTAATAGAAATGCGAGATATATTTAGGCACGGAGGGAGTTATAAGTATGGTAAGAAAAAGTAATGATAAAAGAGATATTTTAATAGAAAGTAAAAGTATTTCGGTGGAAGAGAGAAAAATGAAAGTGGAAGTATATCTAAAGAATTACTCCTATATCACAAGTTATAAAAGTAAATGATAGAATTTAAGATGGGGTAGAGATAACTGGATTGGGTAATAAGACACTTGGGTTGAACCACATTAAAAGATTGAATCCAATCGATTAGTTAGTTCAACTTAAGAACTTATATACCGATTATATTACTCTTGGAATTCCGACGTGAGATGCACTCTAACAGTAAAATCCAAAATTGTACTTCGTATATAATTTTATCAAATTAGTAGTAAAAGTATACGGGGTATATATATAAATACGTCAGAGTTTGATACTCTACAAAATAAACAAGAAATTGTTTTTGGATGGGAGAGTAAGTGCAATGTAATTCTTGTCGCGCATCAAGTTTGACATTTTGTCATCCAAGGGAAATTTCACAAAAATTCTTATCTATGAGCTGCTCAAATAGTTTATAGATAAGAGCCCTTTATGAATTTTTCTTCCAAGTCAAAAATTGAGGTTAAACAAAATATGCAACAAGTTTTGTTCGAATAAAAGAAATCATCCCAAATAAGAGTAAAACATAGATTAAATATCAAAATAAGAATTTTATGTTTTTATTTTCTAAATAAATGTTCGCAATGTAGTAATATGACACTGTACATGAGCATTTTACTATACTTTTTACTAATATACATGGTCATTATTGGTAATGTAAACACATTTTAATTTTCTATTTTGGGGAATAAAAATATGAAACTCCTATTTTGATATTTAACAATATTTTACTCCTACTCTAACCTTTTTCCTATTGAATAACTAATAGTTTACCTTTTTTTTTTAGAAAGGGTGTAAAACTGATATAATGGAAGTTAATGCTTCTAAAATGCATCTTAAATGCACCATGAACTTGTTTATACTATATATTATTTTCTCAGTTCCACATTAACTATCCATTAACATTTTCGACATACATTGAAAAATAACTGAATGTAGATATAATACTTTATGCATACAGTCATTTATTTTTCGATGTAACAAAAAAGTTATAATAGATAGTTAATTTGGAATGGAGAGAGTACTCCGTAGTAAATTACGATTAAAGAAAATTTAATTTAAAAAACTCTCATTTATATAATGCTCTCCTAAATTTTATTCCCACATAATATTCCAATGGTCAAATTTTAATCACTTTGTTTACATATTTTTGTTAGTTATTGGAGAAAATAATTTAACCATATCACCTCGTGTTTTGTAGAGTTTTTGATGTAATTTTTAAATATGTACTCCCTCCGTTCCAAATTATAATGCCTGTTCACTATTCACAGGGTCAAACTTCATTCACTTTCTTTCTCTATTTTCATTAGCAATTTGATAAAATAAAATGTTGTTGTCACTACTAGTTTTGTAGATCTTTTGATGTAATATTTTGATATGTAATTTTTATTTTTTAAGTCTATACCATTTGTCATATAAAATGATTTGAAAATAACTTCAGTCAAACATCGTAAACCGAAACAGGCGTTATAAAATGAGACGGAAGGAGTAATATTTATTTTTTTAATTTTATACCTATAATAAAATAAATTAAATTAAAAATAATTTTAGTCAAATCTCATAAACAGAATTGGAAAGAAGATTTTAGGAGGGAGAGAGTAAATTTGTTTCAACGAGAATGGCGATGATTACTAAATTATATGCACCTAGAGTGCATATAAGAAATTATCATGGACAATAATGTATTGACATTATAGATTAACACCTTATGACATTATAGTTTTATTTTAGTATGAAAATATTGAAAACTCTATTTTAATACGGATTATATAGAGTAAATTCTATAAAAGGTCCCCAGTTATAGGCTGTTTTACATATTTAGTCCCTACATATCAAATATTACTAATTTAGTCCCCAATTATTATATTAATTTCCACGAATGGTTCTTTAATTTGTTAACATTTTCGTTAAGAACGTGGATAAAATTGTAAATTCACACTCCTCTCCTCAATTAAGCTTGCTCCCTTCCCTCGCACTCCTTTCCCAAACCCATCGCTGAGTTTAAAGCTTTGAATTCAAAACCGAAATCGTCACTCTTTTCTCAATTGTTTGTTTAACGGTTAAAACCCAAATTCAAAACCAGTAACCTTTAAGGATGAGTTTTAATGTTTATTTTCTTTCAATTTTTTGAGACTAACCTATAAAACTTATCCATAATGCTTATTCGTTTTGATTTTAGGTTCCACCATAAAGACTAATAATTGAGAGAGCAATGATCATTTCGGTTTCAGGTTTAGAGCTTCAAACTCAGCGACGAGTTTGGGAAAGAGTACGAGAGGAGGAATGAAGCGGGATGAATGAAGTTTAACAAAAACGTTAACAAAGGATCATTCGTGAAAATGATATAATAATTGGGGATTAAATTAGTAATTTTTGATATGTAGGGACTAAATATATATGTAAAATGACCTACAACTGAGGATCTTTCATGGAATTTACTCGATTATATATGAAACATGCTTATTTGTGATGAGTTTTGTTCAGAAGGGAGAAAAACGTTTGTCATAAATCTTATTCAAGTCATATTTAAGTAGTTTCTGAAATGATATGATTTTATCCGGTCTGATATGATTCCGATAGAAATATATGGGAAAAACGCTAAATTGGGAGTAAAATATTAAAAATATATCAAAAAAGGAGTTATATGTTTTTATTCCTGAAATAGAAGTTAAAATACATTTACATTACCAATTATAATCATGTATATTACCAAATAGTATAGTAAAATGTCATGCACAGTGTCACATTGCCACATTACAAACTCCTATTTAGAGAAAAAAATGAAACTTCTATTTTGATATTTTAATTTCTCTCTATTTTACACCCATTTAGGATGACTTTTTCAAATAATGCTCTCTCTGTCTCTGAATTATGGTCAATGTTACCAT